AAGCTCCCCTAGCCACCGCTGAGACCTGGGGTTCCAGGCTCAGCGATGAGTCCAGGATCACTCCCAAGCTGCGAACCCTCCTGTCCCTTCAGGGGGAGTGTAACCCCGTCACACAGGCTGTAACCCTATGCCCTGTTCGGCCTTACGACTGACCAGGAGGACCTCTGTCTTGTCTGGATTTAGTTTCAATCTGTTGGCCCTCATCCAGTCCGTTACAGCGGCCAAGCACTGGTTCAGGACTTGAATAGCCTCCTTAGTAGCAGGTGGAAAGGAGTAACAAAGTTGGACATCATCTGCGTACAGATGACACCGAACCCCGAAACTCCAGATGATCTCTCCCAACGGCTTCATGTATATGTTAAACAAGGGGACAGTACTGAACCCTGCGGGACTCCACAATACAATATAATCAGGTTCAATGGGGATTTTATACAGCTGTGTGGAAGTGGCCTGGGAAGCCATCACCATAATCTGTTACCCAGTTTAAAAACTTCTTTCCTTCTTGCTAATCTTTCTACCATGTATGAGAAGCTATAACAATAGTAATAGTAATAATAATAATAATATGTGTCTCATTGTGGAGAGAAAAAGCAGGGTATAAACAAACATAATAACAATAACAATAGACTCTGAGACTGTCTTCATTCTTGCTAATGCTTCTGCCATTCACAAGAATAGTAGTAGTAGGAATAAACTTGTGATGTACCCTTAAGCCTTTCCTGCTTCTTGCTAAAAGTTTCTGCCATTTATGAGAAGCTATAATAATAACAATAATCTTAAGCCTTTCTTGCTATTTTGCTAACACTTTTGGCTATTTGTGAGGAGCCATAACAGTATCAATAATAATAATCTTGTGATATATTCTTAAGCATTTCCTGTTTCTTGCTAGTGCTTCTAGTAAGAACATAACAATAACAATAGACTGAGACTGTCTTGATTCTTGCTAATGCTTCTGCCATTCAAATGTTTTAATTGTTCTTTGTTATTGTAGGCATCAAATTGTGCCATTTGTAAACCGCCCTGAGTCGCCTTCGGGCTGAGAAAGGCGGTATATAAATATGGATAATAATAATAATAATAATAATTTATTTATTGTGTCAGGAGAAAACCAACCAGTTGTATTGCATTTTCAAACAAACAAACAAAGTTTGCAAGCTTGAATAATAATAATAATTGACAACAATAGTAGTAATAGGAATAATCTTGTGGTGTACTTTTAAGGTTTTTCCTGCTTCTTGCTAACACTTTCTGCCATTTCTGAGAAGCTATTACAACAGCAATAATAATTTTGTTATATACTCTTAAGCCTTAACTTCTTCTTGTGACCACTTTCTGCAATTTCTGAGAAGCAATAACAGTAATAATATGCTTGCTATATAATCTCAATGACAATCTTGTGATATACTCTTAAGCCTTTCCTGCTTCTTGCTAACACTTTCTTCCATTTCCCACAACATCTGTTTTGAAGATTACCTGAGGGCCCTTCCACACAGCCATATAACCCAGAATATCAAGGCAAAAATCCCGCAATATCTGAATTTGAAGTGGATTATCTGGGGGCCCTTCAAATAAACCCACATTTTCTGCTTTAAACTGGAAAATATGGCAGCATGGACTTGGTTCAATGCAGGTATTGTGCGATTTTCTGCCCTGAAATTCTGATTTGTATGGATATATGGAAGGGCACTGAGTCCACGCTGCGATATAATCTGGTTAAATGGGGATTTTATACAGCGGTGTGGAAGGGGCCTGAGAAGTCATCATCACGATCATCTGTTATGCAATTTAAAAACTTCCTCCCTTCTTGCTACTGCTTGCTGCCATTTATGAGAAGTTATAACAACAGTAATAGTAATAATAGTAATAGTAATAATAATAATCTGAGTCTCCTTGTGGAGAGAAAAAGCAGGGTATAAATAAATACAATAACAAGACTCTGAGATTGTGGTGCACTTTTTATTTATTTATTTAATTTATTGGTCAACTTTATATACCACCACTCCCCGAAGGCTCAGAGCGGTTTACAATATACATATGCGATACATTATTTAAAATCAAAGAAAAAAATTAAGCCTTTCCTGCTTCTTGCTAACACGTTCTGCCATGTATTGTCGAAGGCTTTCATGGCCGGAATCACTGGGTTGTTGTAGGTTTTTTCGGGCTATATGGTCATGTTCTAGAGGCATTCTCTCCTGACGTTTCGCCTGCATCTATGGCAAGAATCCTACAACAACCCACTTTCTGCCATTTCTGAGAAGCTATAACAACAATAATAATCTTGTTATATACTCTTAAGCTTTAACTCCTTCTTGCGACCACTTTCTGCTATTTCCGAGAAGCTGTAACAGTAATAACAAGCTTGTTATATAATCTCAGTGATAATAAAAATATTGTGATATACTTATATGTCTTTCCTGCTTCTTGCTAACACTTTCTTCCATTTCCCACAACATTTGCTTTGAAGTGGATTACCTGAGGGCCCTTCCCAGAATATCAAAGCAAAAAAATCCCACTATATCTGAATTTGAAGTGGACTATCTGTGGGTCCTTCAGATAAACCCATATTTTCTGCTTTAAACTGGAAAATATGGTAGTGTGGACTCGGTTCAAAGCAGGTATTGTGGGATTTTCTGCCTTGAAATTCTGAGTGGGCACCGAGTCCACGCTGCGATGTAATTCGCTTCAATTGTGATTTTATATAGCGGTGTGGAAGGGGCCTGAGAATTCATCATCATCACCTGTTTCCCAGTTTACAAATCCCCCGTTTCTTGTATTGTTGAAGGCTTTCATGGCTGGAATCACTGGGTTGTTATAGATTTTTCGGGCTATATGGCCATGTTCTAGAAGCATTCTCTCCTGATGTTTTGCCTGCATCTATGGAAGGAATCCTGAGAGGTTGTGAGATCTGTCGGAAACTAGGAAAGTGCAGTTTATATATCTGGAATAAAGTCACCTGCGGGCTGAGAGGGTCATTATATATTTTTTTTACTGTTTTAATGATTGCTCTACTGTTTATGGATGTATTTTAATTTGATTTATGTCTAAGTGTAATTGTATAATTGTAATAGTTTGTGCTGGCATCGAATGTTTGCCATTACCTATGTGGAAACTGCTTTGAGTCCCCTTCAGGGTGAAAAAAGCGGTATACAAATATCGTAAACAAATATTGTAAATAAATATATAAATATAGAAAATAAAAAAAATCAAGGTGATCAATTGCAGCATCCAACAAACAGCATCAAACAGACAAGAGCTCTTTCTCCCACCGTGAGCACTGTTCTACACGTATATAAACCCCAGTAGGGTAGTTTCCAACACACCTCACAACCTCTGAGGATGCTTGCCATAGATGCAGGTGAAACATCAGGAGATAATGCTTCTAGATCAGTGTTTCTCAACCTTCCTAATGCCGCGACCCCTTAATACAGTTCCTCATGTTGTGGTGACCCCCAACCATAACATTATTTTAGTTGCTACTTCGTAAGTGTAATGTTGCTACTGTTATGAATCATAATGTAAATATCTGATATGCAGGATGTATTTTCATTCTCTGGACCAAATTTGGCACAAATACCTGATACGGCCACATTAGAATACTGGTGGGTTTAGGGGGGGATTGATTTATTTTGTCATTTGAGAGTTGTAGTCGCTGGGATTTATAGTTCACCTACAATCAAAGAGCATTCTGAACTCCACCAATGATTGAATTGTACTTGGCACACAGAACTCCCATGACCAACAGACAATACTGGAAAGATTTGGTGGGTATAGACCTTGAGTTTGGGAGTTGTATTTCACCTACATCCAAAGAACACAAACAATGATGGATCTGGACCAAATTTGGCACAGATGCTCAATATGCCCATATGTGAACACTAGTGGAGTTTGGGAAAAGTAGGCCTTGACATTTGGGAGTTGTAGTTGCAGGGATTTATAATTTATTTATTATTTATTTATTTCGGTTGCTTCTACCCCGCCCTTCTCACCCCGAAGGGGACTCAGGGCGGCTTACAAAAGCAAGGCACAATTCGATGCCCACATCACATAACAGCAATAAAACAAATAACATCAATTAACAATTAAACAACAATTCTTGCATTATAACCATAAAACCAATAAAAACCAATTTCTCCTCATTGACGGTCAGCGTTCGCTACCTCATAGTTCAATTTCCAATTCCACAATTGTCAGTCCTGTCAGTCCTATTCGTCTGGTTGTCCTTATCTAGTTGTCAGATTGCCCAAAGGCCTGGTCCCATATCCACGTCTTTACCTTCCTCCTGAAGGAGAGGAGGGATATTGATGCCCTAATTTCCCTCGGGAGTGAGTTCCACAGGTGGGGGGCCACCACTGAGAAGGCCCTGCTCCTTGTCCCCACCAGCCTCACTTGTGATAGAGGCGGGGTTGAGAGCAGGGCCTCCCCAGATGATCTCAAATTCCGGGGTGGGACGTAGAGGGAGATACGTTTGGACAGATACACTGGACTGGAACCGTACAGGGTTTTGTAGGTCAAAACCAGCACCTTGAATTGTGCTCGGAACTGAACCGGCAGCCAGTGGAGCTGACACAGCAGGGGGGTGGTGTGCAATCTGGCTGCCGCTCGCTGGACCAGTTGAAGTTTCTGAACTGTCTTCAAGGGCAATCTCACGTAGAGTGCGTTGCAGTAGTCTATTCGAGATGTAACAGGAGCGTGGACCACTCTCTTGTTACACTTAAACCAAAGAGCATTCTGAACATCACCAACGATAGAATTGGGACAAACCTCCCACACAGAACCCTCAGAAAATACTATGTTTTCTCATGGTCTTTGGAGACCCCTCTGGGGGTCCCGACCCCCAGGTTGAGAACCACTGTTCTAGGTGGAGGCGAAACGTCAGGAGAGAATGCTTCCAGAACATGGCCATATAGCCCGACAAACCTACAATCCCGCCTTCTTGTTAATGCTTCCCGGTAAGGATTTTTTGAAGGAAGGAAGGAAGGGAGGAAGGGGGGGCGGCGTACCTTGTAGAAGGCCCCGTTGGAGCCGCGCACCTCGACCACGAGCTCCTCCATGTCGTCGTCGTCCTCTTCGGCGGCGGTGGAGGCGGAGGAAGCGGCGGCGGCGGAGAAGGAGGAGGAAGGGGGCCCGCCGCCGCCCCCTCCGCCCCCGCGGCCTAGCCGCCTCCCTGCCGCCGCCGTCGTGATGGCCGCCCCGCCGCCGCCGCCCTTCTTGGGCCCGGCCTCGGCGTCCCTCAGGTGGCGGCGGCGCAGCGCGGGGCGGGGCGCGGGAGGCGGCGGCGGCTGCGGCGGAGGAAGCGGCGGCTCCTTCCTCTTGGCCTCCTCCTCGGCGCGGCTGGGCGTCGTGGTGGTCGCCGTGGCCCGCGGAGGCCCAGGGAGCGCGGCGGGAAAACGCGGCCGAGGCCTGGGAGGAGGGCGGAGAGAGGCTGGCGGGCGGCGGCGAGGAAGCAGGAGGAAGAGGAGGAGGCGGAGCGCCGCTGTGTCCACATGAAAGGCCTGGCACCCTCACGCGAGGCGGCGGCGGAGGAGGAGAAGAAGGCCGTAATGGCGGGCGAGCGGCGGTGGGCGGGGCCGGACAGCGCGCGCCTGCGCAGTCGCCGCAACAGCCGGGTCAACCCTGGTCGCTCACTCCCTCCCGCTCCCGCCTGGCGCTAAGTCTCGCGAGAGTATACCCACAGTGTCTATATTCCTCCGCGTAATCTCGCGCGAATGGGTGACAAGGATGAGGGGGGAGTCTACGCGCGTGCGCAGTCGCCCCAACAGACTAGTCTCTCGCTAACTCCCTCCCGTCTGGCTCTAAGTATCGCGAGAGCATACACAGTGTCTATCTTTCCTCGTCCTCTCCTCCCCGTAATCTCGCGCGAATAGGTGACAATGAGTGGGTGAGTCTGACTACGCGCCTGCGCAGTCGCCGCAACAGATGGGTTAGCTCTGATCTCTCACTCCCTCCCGTTTGGCGCTAAGTATCGCGATAGTATACCCACAGTGTTCATACTCCCTGCCGTCCCTTCCGCGTAATCTCGCGCGAATAGGTGACAGAATGAAGGAGGGAGTCTACGCGCCTCCTTCCGGTTTGGCGCTAAGTCTCGCGAGAGTATACCCACAGCGTCTATACTCTCTGCCCTCCCCTCGCGCGAATAGGCAACAGAATGAAAGGGGGGGAGTCTACGCGCCTGCGCAGTCGCCCCAACTGACTGGTCTCTCGCTCACTACCTCCCTCCCGTCTGGCGGTAAATATCGCGAGAGTATACACAGTATCTATCCTTCCTTGTCCTCTCCTCCCCGTAATCTCGCGCGAATAGGTGACAGAATGAGTGGGGCAGTCTGACTACGCGCCTGCGCAGTAGCCGCAACAGACGGGTTAGCTCTGGTCTCTCCCTCCCGTAATCTCGCGCGAATAGGTGACAGAATGAAGGGGGGAGTCTACACGCCTCCTTCCCGTCTGGCGCTAAGTCTCGCGAGAGTATACCCACAGCGTCTATACTCCCTGCCCTCCCCTCGCGCGAACAGAATGAAGGAGGGGGGAGTCTACGCGCCTGCGCAGTCGCCCCAACTGACTGGTCTCTCGCTCACTACCTCCCGTCTGGCTCTAAGTATCGCGAGAGTATACACAGCGTCTATCCTTCCTCGTCCTGTCCTCCTCGTAATCTCGCGCGAATAGGCGACAGAATGAAGGGGGGGAGTCTACGCGCCTGCGCAGTCGCCCCAACTGACTGGTCTCTCGCTCACTACCTCCCTCCCGTCTGGCGCTATATATCGCGAGAGTTTACACAGTGTCTATCCTTCCTCGTCCTCTCCTCCTCGTAATCTCGCGCGAAGAGGTGACAGAATGGAGGGAGTCGGGAATCGTGCGTCTGCGCAGTCAGGCTCTCTCGCTCGCTCCCGCCTGCCGCTAGGTATCGCGAGAGTATATACACAGTATGTATACTCCCCTCCGCGTAATCTCGCGCGACGGGGTGACATAATAGGGGAGTCCGCCAGCCCACGCCTGCGCATTCGCTCTAAAAGCCGGGTCAACCCTGGTCACCCGCTCACACTCTCGCTCTTGCTCCCGTTGGCTCTAAGTATCGCGAGACACACACAGTGTATATACTCCGTCGCCTTCCCCTCCGCGTAATCTCGCGTGAAGAGGTGACAGAATCGGGGAGAATCCCTATGTTCGCTAAATAACGCGAGACTCTGTCGCCCAGGCATGGACTGCAGCCCAGCGCGGAGTGAGGCGCTTCCACCAAGTTCGAGGAGGAGGGAGCAGGCGCATGCGCACTGGTGGCCCTTTGAGTTTTAGTGTCTGCACAGGGCATGGGCCAACTTGGGCCTTCCAGGAGTTTTGAACTCCAACTCCCACCATTCCTAACAGCCTCAGGCCCCTTCATAGAATCATAGAATCAAAGCAGGAATTAGGGGTCTTTGCCAGGAGGCAGAGACCAATTAGACTCATCAAAGAGTTCTTTTTCCCTGGCGAGACAGAAAAGAAGCACCCAATCCCTGATTTTTCCCAGTAAAAGGTCTCACCAAGTTGAAAGAAGTGCCACCGAGGTTTCTTAGCGATTCAGCTGAAAAGGATGCAGAGCGGCAATCATTCGCCAAGCAGAGCATGTGGTTACAGAAGTAAAGGCCATTTTTGTAGAAAACTAGCTGACCCTAACTGTGGCCCAGCATTGCTGTGGCCCAGTTTGGTGATCTGGAAAATAAAGTAATGAGTCATTGGTTCTTTTGGTTTCTAATATATGTAATGTCTTTCTGCTTGTGGGTAAACAGTATTTCTTGTTTCTTTGTCAGTGTTGATGTGGAGATTGTCTGGTTTGCCTACTCTGGAACATGCAACATATTATTGTCCTTCTTTAGGGGTCCCTTTCACATCTGTCTTTCACCTGACTGCGCAGACTGACGCACGATTCCCGACTCCCTCCATTCTGTCACCTCTTCGCGCGAGATTATGAGGAGGAGAGGACGAGGAAGGATAGACACACTGTAAACTCTCGCGATATATAGCGCCAGACGGGAGGGAGGTAGTGAGCGAGAGACCAGTCAGTTGGGGCGACTGCGCAGGCGTGTAGACTCCCCCCCTTCATTCTGTCGCCTATTCGCGCGAGATCTTTCACATCTATCTTTCACATCGTATCTCTGCCTATGAACCCACCAGGACTCTAAGATCTTCTGGGGAGGCCCTGCTCTCGATCCCGCCTGCATTGCAAGCACGGCTGGCGGGGACGAGGGACTGGGCCTTCTCTGTGGTGGCCCCTCGGCTGTGGAACACCCTTCCCATGGACATTAGATCAGCCCCTTCGTTAATGGTGTTTCGAAGAAAACTAAAAACCTGGCTGTTTGAACAGGCGTTCGGATGAACAATGCAATGAATATGATGAATATAGGAAACAGTATTATGGATGACGATTTGGATCACGATTCTAGTTACGAG